CTCTTTAGTTGTGCCTCAGGGACTATTATATGCTTTTGACAGCTGGATCTTCTATTGCAAAATTCTCTAATCAACAAACAAAGTAGCTCGAGGCAAAGGAGGATTATTTTCCCCGGAAACCTATAAATGTAATGTGATGAATGCAGGGACCCAGTCACATTCAATGTGAACAAATTAAATTGTGACTAAACGAACTGCTAGAGTGTAATTGTTAGTCACAACCACGAGCACTAATGCGAACATCCAGAATAACTAGAAAACCATGTCATCGAACACACTCTTACTATTAATATAATTGTTCATTTGCTATGTACCTTAAAGTCGCCTCCTATTTACTGTGACCCTATGAACGACTGATCTCCAGAATGTTCTGTCCTCAACAGCCCTGCTTCAAGTGTGTGTGTGTGTGTGTTCCTCTTTTCCTGCTGCCCTCCACTTTGCCTAGCATTATTGTCTTTCCAGAGAATTCTGGCTTCTCATGATGTGCCCAAAGTAGGACAGCTTCAATGTCAACATATTTGTTTCCACAGAAAGTTCAGGCTTGATCTATTAATTTTCAAATATTTTGTATTCCCTTGAAAGTAGATACATATCTGTCTCTTCAGAGTCATAATGGTAGTCAACACTTGAGTCATGAGAAAATCTAAATATAACATATTTTTCCATATATAAGACATCCTCATCTATAAGTGAACCCCCCTTTTCTAACCCAAAATTTCTTTTTTCGCAAGAAAGTGGAGGGGAGAGGCAGGGATCAAAGTGCTTTGATTCCTGCTTTCCCCCTCCACTTTTTGTGAAGAAAGTGGAGGGGAAAATCACTTTCCTTGCAAGAAAGTGGAGGGGGAAAGCAGGAATCAAAGTGCTTTGATCGCTTCCCTCCTCCTTACTTCCGTGTATTAGATGACCCTCAATTTTTAATCAAAATGTTTTAGACAAAAGTATCATCTTATACACAGAAAAATATGGTAGGTAAATGTTATGTCTCCCCCTGACCAAGCAAATGTTGGTTTCTACAAGTTCCTACATCACAAATCTCAACAATCCCCAAACCAGGTAAAGACATATTCCCATTAGCAACCAGGAACAGAGTTTGAAAGTAAATAGCTACAAATAAGTAGTTACTTGCACTAAATTCCCTTTTTACTAATCATAAATACTGTATATAGCTTAGGTGGCATTATAATTACAACCTTTTTGCAGTATAACTGGAACTTTTTAGTCATGAGGTTTGGACTTACTAAATAGTGGAGGAGAAATATCAGCCAATATCCTGATGTGGCATATAGCTTAACTTTCGGCAGCAAATTGCTGCAAATTACGAAGTCAGTATAGACGTTATTTGTTGTGCATTGAACTGCACAACTTGGTACACAGCAGATAATATCTACACTAACTTCAAAGGTTACATCTTTTAAGATACACTGGCAGAAACACTGTGGCCAACACATGGATACAGTACCCCAAATGCTGGTTCATGCTTTGTCTTGTGTTTTTGCACTTTGTTGTAAGTACTGAGATGGAGAATACATTGTGTACCAAAGACCGGCAGCTTATAGCATTTCAGTGCTGTCTTTAAAGGTCGTCATCGTTTAGTCGTTTAGTCGTGTCCGACTCTTCGTGACCCCATGGACCAGAGCACGCCAGGCCCTCCTATCTTCCACTGCCTCCCGGAGTTCTGTCAATTTCATGTTGGTTGCTTCGCAGACACTGTCCAGCCATCTCATCCTCTATCGTCCCCTTCTCCTCTTGCCGTCACACTTTCCTTTCTTTAAAGGTAGCTTAAAATAAACATTTTTTGGTACTTTTGAGAAACTGTGGAGCAAAGAATTACTTTTAAAATAATTGCAACACTACTAAACTACAAGGCTGGTGCACGTGTGTAAAACTGTACCTGTAATTAATTTTTTTTAAATGTAGCATTTCATTCATTAGCCATAAACAAATCTTGTGCTTGTTAAAAAAACAAGATGACTAAGTTTTAGTTTATTTAGAAAACTATTGCCATTGCCCTTTATGTCATGGTACTCACACACAATCAGTTTTGGAAGTACGGCTGCAGGAGCTTCTTTCTCCAACCACTGCTCCACCCTGTCACATAATGTTATGTCTCCCCCTGACCAAGCACTCAAGGGCCCAATCTTGTCCTCAACGAGCCACACCTCCCCTTTGATCTACTACTGTTTTTCTAAAAGCTAACTACATAGGTGCTTCTCTAACTGGGATCTAGGTAAGGAAACAGCAACACATGCCATTTTTGTGTTGTGTTCAGCGGGCCAGAATGAATAAAACAAACTGATTCCAATATCTATTCTTAAAGCAGGTTCAGGGAATGGCCCTCTCCCCAGTCCTGCCATAAAACTGATGGGGCTCAAGAAAGAGTGAACTGTGCTCTAGGACAAGCAGAGATGCATGCCCGTCAATGACATCAGCATCTCCTGGTAGTTTCCCTCCTTGATGTGTAGACATTTGGAAAAATCCTTTCCATGGGGAGCTGCTGATGAACGTATACCCTTAAATACACAGACAGAAGACAGCAAAACACACAGTCCATTTGGAGGGGCTGCTGGGTGGCACAAGAAGCAGAAATGCAGATCTCCCTCTTGAATTCTTTCCACATCCTGGAGCCTGTCCCTGGATACACAGCACACATCAACACTTGATTTCATGGAGAAAGAGGTAGCGCTCATAGGGAACAAGGCAAACAGAAGCTAGTGCAGAGACGATGTGCCTATGACAGCATATGAAAATTGACTTCATTTACATTAGTTTTATTTCAGGAAAGAAAAGAGGAGTAAATAAATACTAGAATATGATATTGTTGATCCCAATTCTACGTTTTGGGATACTGAGGCGATGTCACATCAGCAGGTCACAGGGGAATGTGCCTAGAACTGTGCTGATCTGCCACTGTTTCCAGAGGAGCAGGTGAACATTCTCGTTACGGATTTGCCCAAGAGATGCTGCAACTGCACAACCCCCGTTTTGACTCATCTCTCTTGCCAGGAGGGTGAAGATGGTGCCACGTCTTGGAACTACTCATCCAGTGCAATGTGAAATTGCAGAAACAACAGAGAGACATGTACCAAGTGAGGTCTTCCCTGCCCATTTATTAAAACACTGATTGTGCATGCAGTGTGGTTTCCAGAAATCTGTCATTCACAGAAGGACTGTGCATAGCTACACTGCCTATTTTTCCCCACAAAATCATAGTAACTTGTGTGTTATTCTCCAGCACATAAACACATATATCACTGAAGCATTTCCCAGGAGTTCATCCCACAGAGATGCCAACAAAGAGCAAACAAGCTGCATCGGGCATCTGTTTTGGTGAGCTGCAGCTCCCACAATCAGCTCCTCTGAAAAAGCAAACTGCAGTTCCCCAAAGCTGATGCTAAATATAATTTGCTAGCCTTTAATGCCATTAGTCTGTTTGGCACTGTTTAATAAGGGGTGTTTGCGTGTATGTCGGGGGGGGGGAGGAATAGCAATGTTTAGGTCTGTACTGCCATTCCAGCAAGATGTTTTATCTAAAAATCTCAGTCCCAGTTCACAGCTTGCTGCAAGATCATTTGCTGTGCTGATAAACAGCAAACCACTGAAAACAAGGAAGGGAAATGTGGCTCCTGAGCCGCCATTTGAAGCATAAGGGTTTGATTTATCTTTTGGTGGAGCAAAAACTGGTGGTTTTCACTCAGCTGTTGTTGTTTAAATCAATTTAATCTAAAAAGGATTGACACAGTCAGAGAGACGGAGGAATGAAAGACAGAGCACACTTAGGGTAAACACTCATCTGGAGTTCACAAGATCTGGGTAAAATGAGACTGCATGCAACGTGTAGGAAATTTATACACAACATGGTTGAGGACCAAGCTACATTTATCCTGCAGCCATGTACTGGCATTATTATTATTATTATCATTATTATTATTAATCGGTTTCTACATAACATTTCATATCTACTGAGATCTTGACGCGCAAGCAGCGTAATGCTTGCCTGATGGCTCATTGGAGGGAGCATTTTGTAGCAGAGAGAGGGGGGGGGTGAGAGGAGTGCTTTACTTTTCTCCTGCCATCCCCTCTGCGTACCCCTCCCGAAACCTCTAAACCCCTGCTCCAGCTTTGCAACTGAGAAGGCACAACCAGGCACTACTGATGTTACTCTTTTGGAAGAGAAAGCAAGAGAAGAGCATAAGTAACGCAAATAACTATTCTGGTCAAGATAGGCATTGGTGTACCTATGAAACACAGATTTGCCCTCATTCCCACCTTCGTTAAAACCCATGTGCCACAACTGTTCTCTGCCTGCAGGCCAGAACCAGATTAAGCTTGGGATAAATGCAACTCCTTTGATCCAGCAATAATACTTGCCTGCCCACTTCCAAAGACAGTTACACCCCTGGCTCAGTAATCATAGTTATTCACGCACTGAAGTCTATGAAACCCACTTGGATCAGGGCTCTGTTCTCCTCAAAGACATTATCCTCCTCCTGTAGTCCATATCTATAACATTCCAGATGATGTTTCTATCACTGGTTCCCCTCTTGGTCATGTCCAGCAACCCTCCCACCCACTATTTCCATTGCAGGCCATTAGCAGATCATCCTTCAGGCAGCCACATGGTTAGATCCTTATGCTTCCTTCTCTGCCTCATAGGGATCCATCATACTGGACATTGTACTCATATGGGCAGCCCTGGAGATATATATAACTGAACTGGGAGATAAAGACCATCCCATGCCATTCTAGGTCCAATGCCACTCCTCTCCCCAAGTCTGCAGCCATGTATTTTGAGCTAGGGTGGCTTGGATGCTAACAAGGGTGGCCAGTGTGTAAATACTTGTAAATGCATTGTGTCCAGTCCATAGAATTGGCTCCACATCTGCCAGGAAATAAATACGCACTCGGGTAGATCAAACGAAAGTTGTTGAGATCTAGGGCGGGGGTTGGCTGGACTGCATGTTTCCCTATCTTCCAGCCTGTCAACCCCACTCCTCCTGGGGCTGACTGAACTGCATGTTTCCCTAGTATCTTCCAGCCTGTCAACCCCACTCCTCCACGAGGCTTGAGTGAAAGACATCAAGCTGGGATAGAAGGTGATTTTTGTTGTGTCCTTTTGAATCCTTGAGGCAGAAGGCATGCTTTCGGAGAGGGGGCACCTCTAGGTGCAGCTGATCGGCAACGTTGGTCCCTTCCACCCGGACCAGCCCTATCAGGAGGACAATTCCTAGAAGGGTTGGTTTCATTCAGGAGGAGGATGCTCAGTCCATACTGGTATTTCTTTCGCCTCTCATGTTCTCCTTCCGTCCTTTCGGCTGGCTGGCTCCCTCTGCTCTTAGGTGGCCGCCGCTTGCCTAGGCACCCGGTTCCTCTCGCTGTGCTGCTTGCCCTTGCCCTTTCTGCCGCCATCCAGCATGTTCTTGCTCTTGAGGGGGCGGCCTTTGTGCCTCAGTTGGCGGTCTCCACACCACACTCGCTCACAGTACTCCTCCACCTTCTGCAGGTTGGCATAGCCAATAAGGTGCATGATGTCTTTGAACCACATCCTTTGCCCGTGAAGGAGTCGGGGATCGGGACCTCGGCAAGGCGGGCGCGGCAGCTCCTCCTCCTGTTCCCGCTGGAAGACCTGCTCCAGTTGCTCACTCTCGATCACTTCCAACACGATTTTTGTGACCATCTGAGAGAAGCCGTGCTCATGAGCCTTGCAGTAATACGTTCCCGCATCCTGACGGAACAGCTTACGGAACAGCAGTCCTTGCTCCGTCTTCATGATCCGATCATCTGTTTTCACCTGGCAAAAGGGAAATCGGGAAGGAAAGAAAGGAAATAGGATGCTCAGCAGGACCACATTTCTAGTGGTGCACAACAACTTTCTTAAGACATCACAGAAAGTCAAGACAATGGCTTGCTAATTTGTTATGGGGAGACACTGGGAAGACTGCAAATACCCCACAGAAGCAGAATTTGTGGTGATTCATTTAGAAATGCAGCACCCTGGAGAAATTAGGATCAATGTAACTCTGACAGCTTTGAAGATATGATTAACATTACACAGACAGTTCTTCCTAAAGATTTAGGAGGCTGTGCGTGTTTCTAGCCATCAGCAGTACGTCTTTGCCCTCTGCATGACTAGAAGAGATATAAATAAATCATTCAGAATAATTTATACAAGCCACAGGCCAGTGTCCCATTAAGGATTTAAATGCAAGGAATTAGAAATGCAGAAGCTTTAGCAGCGATCTGACAAAGTGTTGGTCGTGTGCCTGGTGGCACGTGACGGCACCCTGTCAGATCACTGTGGCACTTTGTAGTTGGCACTTTGGCATCAAGTGCATAAATATTGAGCAAGATACTAGCTGTGAGGTTTTCATCAAAAGGTCACACATTCCTAGATGCAGGAGTCACTGCAGAGGACTGAACCAAAAAAGAGGAATGTTCAGACAATGAATGAAATCCTGAGGAGTAAAGTCCACTGAGCTTGAGTTTCAGTTCATTTAATTCATTTAAATGACGCATCAGATCACACTGCCTGAATGACACGAAGGAGGCTTGATAGTCCCATTTTGAACAACCGAAGCACCAGTCCTTCCCTCCTGTCTGCACAAGCCTGGAGTTGTCAGACCCCTTGGCACGACTGATTTAATGGAAACAGATTTGGGGCCTTTAGCTTTTTATGTAAAGAAACATGTTCTTTAGTTTTTTATGTAAAGCAACAAGCTTATTTAAAGCTCTCCCTTTCTGTAACATTCCCAAATCCTCTTTGTAGTCAGAGGCTGATCTTCTCTGGGTTCCTCACTCCTACTTATATGCTCACATGTTTTGCACCTAACATTTTCCACTACTCATGAAGAATCTTTCCAGGAACACAGCTCTTGCCTATGCTTTCTGCTCTAACCCAGGAGAGCCACCCAAAATGCTAGATGAATAAGACGACTTTAGGCTTGTTTTGTTTTGTTTTGTTTAAAAACCTGTACAAAGGAACAGCACAGCAGGCTCAGTCTTGAGGGAGGCTTTTGTTCCTCTGCTGACATCTTTCACCTGGAAAAATCCAGCCCCATCAGGTCCTCTGACACACACCTCAGCTCCTGATGGAAAGCTACTGCACCCAAAGTCTAAGGAGAAGAGGGTGGAACCGCACAAGAATCCCTTTAATTGATTCTTCTTTCTTTCTGATGAGTGACTTGTATTTATTTGTCTGACATTCAGAACAAGGAACCCAGCAGGAACGACACATTCCATTGCTCTGTGTGGTCTTTTCAAAAGCGATGGGGGTTTAGGGGAGATGTTTGACACCACTCTGCTCTCTCTATGACAGCAACCCTCTCCTTATTAACAACTGACAGGAACTTACCAGCTGTGTTTACTGGTCTGTCCCACCTTCTATACTTTTTTTGCTCCAGGGAATTCCCCTGAAAACCTGACAGGATTATCCCTCCTTTCTCAGCCCAGCTTCCTGGGAACTGCCGTGCACGGCTAACTATGGGAAGAGAAGGTGCGACCTCACACAGCAAGAGCGCGGGCCTCTCTGTTTTCAGTTCAATTCAATAATTCCTAATGGAGTTCCATGGAGGAGGCAAGAGTAAGAAACCAAACAAAAGAAAAAGGTAATCTAGCAGGGCAAAAGTACACACGGCAATAGAGGCCAAAGTCAAGTACAAACCAAAGGCCCTTACGGGTTCTGTAAACAACTAGGCAAGAGCCAGCTGTGTCAACTGAACATCACACAGACTCTAATTAATACAGGGGTGTCCAACCTTTCACCTTCCCTGGGCCACATTAGAAGATGAAAATTTGGTTTGGGCTGCACATAAATTTGGTTTGGGCCGCATGGGGGGGGCAGCCCTACCCATCCTCCACAGCCCTGCTCCAAGCCCGCTTACCAGCAGCTGCGAGCTTTGACTCTGGCGGCTTTATGGGGCCGGGAGGGGGTCCACCTATTGACGGGGACGGCGCAAGGCAGTCACACAGCCCCCCTGTCCCCTCCTTTCCCACTCCTTCCTTCCTTCCCTCTTTCCCCCTCCACTGTTGGACATGCCCCGGCCACATTCCAGCCGCAAGCGCCAGTAGTGTAACTTGAAACTTTGGAATTTCTTTAAAAATAAAAAAATTGCACTGGGCCGCATTACGAGCCGACCTGGGCCGCAGGTTGGACAAGCCTGCTCTAATACTTCCTGGGGGCACTCCAGATGGCTCTCCAAGATCACCTGCACTATGCATGACCAGTTTCTTCTCTTCCTCAAGTGTTTTCCTTAGTTTGTGGAGAGCACCATTAGAGGTTCTAAGACCAATGCTGCCCCACAACCCACTGCAGGAAAAACCTCTCAACTGTTGAAGCAGTATGACAATGGAACCAGTTACCTTGGGAGGTGGTGAGCGCTCCAACGCTGGAGGCATTCAAGAGAAAATTGGACCACCATCTGTCAGAACTGCTTTGATTTGGATTCCTGCATTGAGCAGGTGTCTGAGTCAATGGCTTTATCGACCCCTTCCAGCTCAATCATTCTGTGATTTTGTACCACCACCACCACCACCCTTGACATAACCACTCAGCTCAAGCCTTTAGATCACAGATGTCAGAATTTTTAGTGTGCCTTTCTAGATTTCCTAACTGTTTTGTCTACAGACAATCCTGGACAGGGACCTCCTGGACAGAACAGGAGATGAGACCAAGCATTAAGAGTAGCAGGGCTTCTATGCGTTTCATACGTAGCTGAAACTCAGCACTGAAACTCTGTCCATTCTCAACAAGAATGCACAAAGCTTTAATGCCAGAATCCACAGCTGTCTTATAGATAGGGGCAGGGCCCATGCCAGGAAAACAAAGAGGTAGCAACCTAAATAAGCAGCACCTATAACCAACTGTCAAGAAAACCATTCTTCTATAAGCAGTTATGTTACTTAGCTCGGGTGGGGAAGTCCCTGGCGGAAGACCAAGAAAAGGAGATCAGCACGGTGCAACACAATTTTACTAAGGCCAAAAGATGCACGCTAGTGGCTATGCTCCAAAGGCAAGCAAAAGCTCCTAACAAAGACAGCGACAGATCTACTATTAAATGGGAAAAGATTTTAAACACTTCTTATTGAAAAATAAGTAACAGAATGGAGAACATGGAGGAAAAGGAAACAGCCTCACCTCATCTCTTAGCTCCTCAGGGGACCGGTGTACAAACCACTGCACTGCAGCCTGGGGTGACTTGGGGATGCATTCTAAGAAGGTGCTGTTGTGCTCTGTCCCATACACCACTTTTTCCTCCGTTCTGTCGAAGTCGTCCACTGTGGAAATAAGAGAGTGTCTTTATCAAGAGGCCAACAGCTCAGCAGAAACTGCCCGCTTCCTTATCAAACAGCCTGGCTCAACATTGTTGCTGAAAATAAGAGACCTGGTTGAAATCCTTGACCAGCCAGGGGCTTGCCTGGTACCTCTATAACACAGAGAGATTTATTTTTTTCTTGCCCCTGAAAGAGACTGAGATCAAAATTCAAATGGCAACCGAGGTTAGCAGATCAAATACTTCCTGTCTGTCTCCCTGCATAGCCGCTTAAAATTCATTCATTCATTCTTTCATTCAGTTGGTTGGTCAGTCGGTCGGTCAAGCAATTTATATACCACCCATCTAGCAAACTGCTATTCTGGGTGGTAAACAACAAATTAAATGTGAATATATTATAATATAAACAAAAAAAACCCTATTCCAAACATAATTCATAATCTAAAACAGGTGGTGAAACAACTTCCAGAACACACTACAATAAAGCACATTATTCCTCTCCTCCTAAATATAGCATTCTGTCTTTAGGTTTTTGCTGTCCACTGGAAAAGTACCTGAGAAACCTACAGGAATGATTTCAACAATGAATATGGAGGTTCCCTGTGACAAATCTCTGGCAACACATCTGAAGATTGAGCTATACTACACATGATCATGGCCACAGCCCACACAATTGTCATCTTCTTCTCCCTCATGTTTTCAAGAACTTGATTTGATCATGGCCACAGCCCACAGAATTGTCATCTTCTCCCTCATGTTTTCAAGAACTTGATATCTGGCATATGACAGCTCCCCTTATGTGCTGCTGCTCCTTCTCTGCAGTCCATAACAGAGCTCAGAAAAGTCACTTTTTTAGACTACAACTCCCAGAGCCTCCAGGCAGCATGTCTCCTGCTCCCAGTGGCCAAACCGACTGAAAGATTCTAGAAACCAACATGCTAAAAGAGGAATGTTTCTGAGTTCTGGTCCACAACCATTGGCCTTAGTGCTTTATCACCGAGCTTACTCACCCGTCAAGTTTTGATCCAGACACTGGTGCATGGGGTTCCCATTCCGGATATCCTGACGGCGAAAACGGCGCTTGCTGGATGGTTGGTACCGGGTACAGGTCAAGCCATCCCAGGCACAGTAAGGGTCCCGCGCCAGGCAGCACTCTGCACAGGCTGTCCCATATGTGTCACATTGGTGCAGTTTCACTTGAGCCACTCCCACTCGGGAGCCCACGTAAAGCATTTGCTGAGAAAACAAGAGAGAGCAGGATGACTTAGAGAAGTTGAGTCTTGAGCCACCAACCAGCATTTTCAAGTGGCATTCCCAGGAGAAATGACGTCAATCAGCACCGGCCCCCACAGCCCCCTCACACTTCCCCAAAAATTGGCTCCAGAAGTTTTTTTGCATGTAATTTTGGTCTCCAGCAGAATCGGCTTGGCATTCCCCAGTTAATCAGTCAGTCAGCCAGTCTATCTATCTATTTAATATACCGCCTTATTAATGCAGGAGTTTGAGTTCCACTCTGAACAGCCAAGGTGAAACAATGCTGACAGTTCTAGGCAACAAAAAAATCTGGTGGAATCAAAATGGAAGGGTCTCTTACAACAGAATTACATCAACAGAGCTGCACATGAATAAAAGGAATGTTACAGGTCATGAGATTATCTGTATATTTTTCATATATGTTATGTGAACTATGACACTGGCTTCTCCTGGCAAACAAGTATCAGTCCTAATTTGGATATCCAAAATTTTGAAGAGGCTTTGTAGATTAGAGTCTGTAACAGAATCAGAGAAGCAAGACCTGTCCTTCTCAATTAGTTTTGGGTGGGGCTTTCTCTCAGCAGCCCACAGAAGTCTGTGGACTGGACAGTTTTTTTGGACTTCTACGCTGTGATTCCAAATTGCTCCATAAAGGAATCATTTATTACTCACCCGTTTGACGGAGATTTCCATCTCAGTAATGGGAATTGGCACCTGAAAGGGGGGAGGGGAAAAAGCCTCTTAAGTATGTCACAAAAGAGAGCCCTGATCCTGTCCCACTGCCATATATTTCAGACCTGTATTTTCTTACAGCCACGTAAGTTTAGGAGCTCCCAACGATCTCTATGCAAAACCAAAGGCACACTCATAGGAACAAAAATACAACTGGATAAAGGCCTTTTGTCAGGTTTACGATTTTAATCATGCTGAAACTCAACCCCTCCTCACCACAAATCATAGTTGTATTCTCATCATTAGGTTTATTCCCTAATCCTATGAGAGAGCTGTGGAACAAATGGATACAGTGGTCAACTCATGGGAGGCTGAAACACAAAAGCTAGGTACAGATTTGGAAGTCTATAGACTGCTCAGAAGATATATTGCTGAAGTACAGCTATGTAACAAGAACAATAAAATACAGCATTGGGAGAGAACTTCCTTAGTTGTGGTGCCCCCATGATAAGGATCTCCCTAGGGAGGCACAGCCAGTGGACTTGTTTGGGCACAAGCCACAACCCTGCTGCTTGCCAAGTCACTTGCCCTGGCTGACTCTGGCTGCTGGATTAGGATGGCATATTTCTTCTGTTTATATCGTTTTAGTGATATTTTTACAATGTCCTACTATCTGTAATGGGGAAGGACACATTTTTAATGTTTTAGTCAATACAACGACGACAACAACAAAAATAAAAGGCAATACCCTATAAGAGGGAACAGGATTGTAGCGTTCCCCTTTATTAGGTCAATGGTTCATGTTTTGTTATGCAATTGTTCATGTATATTCACGTTGTTGAGAGGTGGAGCTGACAGAGATGCTATAAGAGGCGGAGTCAGTCAGTAAGAGTCAGGGAGTTGGAGTGGAGTGTGTGAGAGAGAAGGAGACAGAGTGTGGAGTTTGGGGAATTCTGAGGTGTGATTAGAGTTAGGAGTGTATTATCAAATAGAAGGTTGTTGTTCATAATAAATTTACCTAAAGAAGATATTAATGAATCAATATCAATGTCAGTAATCAATAAACAAAAGTTCTATTTAAAAGACCTTGAAGTGTGGACCTGAATCTTCCTCTTCCTGAAGTAAGGGTGATTTAGTGATCATCTGGTGGCAGCAGTGTAAAAGAGGGGGTTGTTTGCCTTCGTGTGCTCTGAGTTTTGACGATCAAGCAAGGGGGCATGAGGGTGAACGTTGCAAGGATAAACAGAGAAGATTGTGATCTGGGGCGGAAATGATTGGGTCAGCAACAACTGCACCTCCATGGGGTGTCCTTCCAATGGAGTGCTAAAACAGAGCAGGCTCTTGCCTTGGTATTGTATACCCAAGTTCAGCATCCCACAGCTGCCCAGATTCCACTGCAGAAGCACCCTAATTATAGATGTACACAGGGAAGGGCCAAAGCTTACTTGTAGAACTCCTGCTTTCCATGAGAGACACTCCACATTTAGCCTAAGCTACCTTCATGTGAGGGATTCAGTGAGCCCTGTTGGGGTGGGGTGTCTATGACTGAGAAACATTGGGTTAGAGGGATCAATGGTCTCAGTAAAGGCAAGCAGCTCTTATCATCCTTCACCTCTTAAGCCTTCTCGCACATCCATGTAAATCTACCAAAGACTGAAGTGTAAGGCCAGGTCAGGAAGCTGTTGGCATAGGCACCTCCTGACCACAAGCATATATAAACAAGAAGGTGATATATGGTTGTGTATTTAATCAGTCTATGACCATAGAGGTGGTGCGTGCCCTGCATATGCTGACCATGATCGTTATTTTGGTTAACATCTTAAACATTTATCCAGCAGTTGCCAGTGTTAAAAGCACTTGTGTTTATGACACACCACACAAAGCAGTGGGGCAACTAGGCAGTAACAAATATACTTCCTCTGTAACATAAATACACATTTGAATTGTGATCATCCATCAGTTCCCCAATATATAGCCATGCTGCAAGGATGTAGAATCTGGAATACACACAGGCAACCATAAAAAGACGACCAAGCCAATTACAGGTGTATGGGCAAGACACTCATGATAACCCAAACTGCACGTTTCACTTTGCTGTTCTATATAAGCAAGGTCCATCAATGTGTACACAGGTAGCTTTCATACTTCACCTTAAACACCTGAAGCTCTTCCAGAATAACTTCTTCAGCTGCAGCAAAGTTCCCTCTCTGAAGGGCTATGACTTTCAGTACTGAGCCAGCATCTGGAAGGCAGGGAGAATAGAAAACGCAGGCTAAAACAAGCCAGATCTGCAAAGTCATCTCTCACCCCACCAACAGCAAAAGCCTGCTTCACTCAGCCATGGAGAGAAACCTGCAAATAATGTGTATTCCTGGGAACCATTCCGCCCCCCCTTTTAGTCAGCACAATTAGAACAGAGACAGCATTCTTGCAAGTCAAGTGACCTGCTATTTGAATATCTTATTTCATATCTCTGACTCCATGCTGGATCATGAGCATCCTTTTTATTCTTTCTGTCTTTGCGTCTTTTTTTTAGTTTATATACTATTTGGCCAAACATCTATGTTAACGTAAAGAAAAATTAGTTCCTTAGGCTACATAAGGAAAATTAGCTTTTCAGGAGACAAGCGACTGTTCTTCCAGCTTTCACCAGTTAATGGGGACAAAGTGAAAGAAAAGCATCTCTTCATATATATGCTGTCTCTTTCTCTAACCTTAGCCAATAAAAACATTTCCCCACTTCTATTACACCTAGTCAAATAAGCACTTTGACTCACTCCATCTTCAGAAGTAACCTAAATTCCTAAAGATGGACTTGGACAGAGCCAAGGTGAGAGAAAAGCTGAAAAGAAAACCTCAAAGAATTATCATACTTGGAGGAAACTAGAAAGGGAAACTTTCGGCGGAACTGGACAATTCAACAAGAAGGAATTAAGAAGAGAAAACAGCTGAAAAGCTGCTCCTGAAGAACTGAAGTCTTTGCTGAGGCCATTGGGGTTCCAATTACAGGTTTAACGGGGCCCGGGCTCATCAGCACTAAGCCATGTGCTTCTTTTCCATGTCATGGCTCGGTCTTGGAATACTGGAAAATCCAAGAGATTGCTTGTACGCACAAGCAGCGTTCCTTTCCACCTTGACCACCAGCCCTCCCCGCCACCTGCAGGAGACCAGAGGGAGAAAGGTCTGAGTTGCGAAGATGCAGCTCCCCTGGCAGTGCTAATGTGCAATGCCTCTTCATGATCCGTATTTGGCACTGTACCGGCACAAGCAGCGTTCCTTTCCACCTTGACAACCAGCCCTCCCCACCACCTGCAGGAGATCAGAGGGAGAAAGGTCTGAGTTGCGAAGCTGCAGCTCCCCTGGCAGTGCTAATGTGTGATGCTCTTCATGATCCGTATTTGGCACTGTACCTGTGCCGATGAACATGACATCATACTGCCCATCCTCAGCTTCCACACGGTCCACCACTATCTGTCGCAGACGGTGCTGCAAGTTGGTTTTCACTAGCACAGGTCGCCGATGTAGCGGATATACCGATTTGCTCATCAGTGGATGGGCACGGGCAAACTGTAGAACTTCATCAGGGTAGTCCTTAGTGGAGGAGTACTGCCGACGCGGCTGGTTGGTGGTTTTGCTGGGGCACTGGCAAGGGGAGGAAAGGACACCATTCAGCAACAAAAGTAGCCCTGTGCATGCTGCTTATTTATACAGGAGAGGGAGCCTTTGGGGCCATGCTTGACAGCATGAAATAAGCTTGACAAAACTAATTCCGACTAGAATGGTTGTAAATGCATGGAATGCTTTGGTGGAAGCTTCTTTATACAGGAGAAGGAGCCTTTGGGGCCATGCCAGCTCCAGTATGAACTCTGATTGACAAAACTAATTCTGACTAGAGCGGTTGTAAATGCATGGAATGCTTTGGTGGATTAGGCTAAACATTGGTTGAGCTGCTTTGTCTCCATCTAGATAATGGTGAAGAACTCCCAAGAAGGTCAATTTCTGTCTTAAATCCTAAAAAAAAATCTAATATATGGCGTCAGTAATGGGCTGGATGAGGGCAAGCAAACTGAAACTTAATCCAGACAATGCAGAGGTGCTCCAGGTTAGTGGGAAGGCAGATGAGGGAATAGGGATACTCCATGTGCTGGAAGGGGTTACACTCCCCCTGAAAAGTCAGGTCCGCAGCTTGGGTGTACTCTTGGATTCATTCCTAAGCTTGGATTCCCATGTTTTGGCGATGGCCAGGAGTGCGTTTGCACAGCTAAAGCTGGTGCACCAGCTGTGCCCATTCCTTGAGACGTAGGATATGGCTACAGTGACACCTGCCTTAGTTACATCCTGTTTGGATTACTGTAACACGCTTTATGTGGGGCTGCCTTTGAAGATGGTTCAGAAACTTCAGCTGGTGCAAAACTGAAGCCAGACTACTGACTGGGGCCAGATACATGGAGAATATACCACACCTGTTACAAGAACTGCACTGGCTACGAGTCCATTTCCAATTCAAAGTGCTGGTCATTCCCTAAAAAGTCCTATACAGCTTGAGTCCAGGCTACCTGAAGGACCGTATCTCCCTATATGCGCCTTCTCGGAGATTAAGATCAGCAGAGGAGGCCCTCCTCCTGGTCCCATTGCCAGCACAAGCACAGCTGATGGGGACCTGGGAGAGGGCCTTCTCTGGGGCAGCTCCCAGGCTATGGAACGCTCTCCCTCGGGAGATCAGGATGGCCCCTTCCCTGTCATCCTTCCAAAAAAAAGCTAAAGACCCATCTCCTTTATGTACATCGGTCCTCCAAATGACAATAACAATTATAACTGAGCCCCAATTTAGCAGATAATTTAAATCTTTTTCATGTTTTCATCTTTTAATTGTATTTTAAATTATATATTTTTAAATTTATTTTTTAATATTTAACTTATTGTGTTTTTAATGTTGTGAGCCACTTTGGGTCCCACTTATTCATTCATTCATTCATTCATTCATTCATTCATTCATTCATTCAATTTATATCCTGTCCATCTGGTCAACTGACCTCTCTGTAGGGAGAAATGCAGCATATAAATTTAACTACTGCTACTGCTGCTGCTACTACTACTACTAATAATAATAATAGATGTTACAAGACTTAATAGTTGCAACTGGATACAACTGCAGCGATCTGATCTACCATGCTAGGTTTTGATGTCTGTATTAACAGAGAAAATCCTATTTTTACGGTTTGGAAAGTTGTCTTGTACCAAATTAGACAACTGGCCCACCCTGCTCAGCAGAGTCTACGCTGACTGGCAGCAGATCTCTGGGGTTTTCTGGCAAGAGGTCTTCCCAGCTCTACTGGGAGGTGCCAGAGATTAAACCTGGAAAAACATGTGCTCCACACCTTGGTTGTTCTTGGAACTTGGTCTGTGCAGAGACCACCAGTTTATAATGTGAAATGTCTTTCTGAGGTGGAAAGGGAGAGGCATTTTGATCATTTGAAACAATGTAGATGTTTAGGATTATACATTAGAATTGTCTGCTTCCTGACCAGAATGTTGAGACTCTGAAAATATAATCGCTTGCAGCTTTTCCACTTGGCATGAGCCCTGATGCTACTTCATCAAAAGAAATAACCAGTTTTCATATGCTAATTTTGTTTTTTTTTTTTGAAAAACCACAAAAACGATAATGTTATATTTACATGCCTGTAAATCTGCAGTGCATTCCCCCTCCTCCCCCCCAGTAAACCAATCCATTTGTTTTGTGTTTAATTTCCAGTTCACCTTGTGCTAGACGCAAACCATTGAGCAGCTCATCAGTAGAATGCTTTGAGGATGCCCATGAACACATGGTTTACGCATATGCTAATTTTGTTTTTTTTAAAAACCACAAAAACAATAATGTTATATTTACATGCCTGTAAATCTGCAGTGCATTCCCCCTCCTCCCCCCCAGTAAACCAATCCATTTGTTTTCTGTTTAATTTCCAGTTCACCTTGTGCTAGACGCAAACCATTGAGCAGCTCATCAGTAGAATGCTTTGAGGATGCCCATGAACACATGGTTTACAATGCCAAAGGACACCTTGATCCAAAGCTACGTGTTAAGTAACATTGCACTTCCATCCTATTTAAAATGAACATAATGCCGGCTGTACTGATACAGTACCTAAAGGAGACAGATAAGCTAATAGAGTATGTGTTGGTAACTACACGTAGCATTCATGAGGTTACATGAAATCAGTTTGTTAGGCTGTACTGATACCTAAAGGAGACAGAGTATGTGTTGGTAACTACATGCAGTATTCATGAGGTTACATGAAATCAGTTTGTTTTCTTAAAAAAGAATTAAAGTGCAAGTGCAAATGGAAAACGGATATTTGCATGTTCGAATTAAAGTGCAAGTGCAAATGCAAATGGAAAACGGATATTTGCATGTTCTCTTCCCCTAGTCATGATCTTGATTAAACTTGTTCCCCTTCTATGTGACAAGTTGTGTTAGGAAAACAGCTTGGGAGGGAAGGCTTGAACTGTGGAAGCACACCTCCACATTGGCATTCAATTTTTAAGCATCCAGATGTGTTTGCTAATCACATTGTCAATGCCACATGAAAACAGCCCTCCACCTCCAATTTTGTGTTATATACAGTGGGGTTTTTGATGGAAGTGGGTAAGAAATGGTCTGAAGGAAATTCTAACTCTCCAAGGTCATCACTGATTTGAGAGCCTACAGCATTCAAATTTAAAATGATGGAGATAGCAGTAGATCAGATTATCAAAAGTATCTTGTTCCAAATTTATTCTGAGAACATCAATGTCTTCTAGTAAACATCATAATGTATATTCTCCAGACACTTACAAATATTTTTCACAATATAGATATGAATTACTTACAACTCCTGGCCTTGGGTAAGGCACCTTGCCCTCATAGGCTGACCACTGATGGTCCGGGCCATTTTTATGAGCAAACGGTCCATTAAAAACCTCCCAGATATCTGCCATACGATATACGCAGACAGCAAAACCCTGGAACACATTGCTGTAATGAGAAAGGTTGAGCCACAGTAAGAGCCTGTTGGGGAAAACAAAGGACCCACCCCCAGGTCTCCCTCACATTGTTTTCATATATACTGGAATATCTACTCAAATCACATGTATATGATAAAGTGACATTTCAAGCTTCAAATGCTGCAAACGTAATTTCTCAAGCATCATGAAGGACTTTGCATCACCCAATATTCAAACCGCAAATCCCAGTGTATCTTCTGAATCCCACAAAGTAATAATACAAATTTGGAAGAATGGTCACAATTCTCCCTTGACTAACGAAACAACAATAACAGCCAGCATCATCATCTTCAAACTGCAGAGCTGGAAGGGACCCTAGGGATCACTGAGTCCAGCCCCTGTCAAGGAGGCACAGCGGGGAATCGAACTCCCAACCTCTGGCTCTGCAGCCAGATGGCTGAACCACTGACTTATCCAGCAGTATCAGAAGATATCAGAAGAGGTCAGGTACACTCCAAATGTTTATTAAACTGTCATGTTTCTATGGAATATAGGCCAGATTATTCAACCCAACATGAAGGTGGGTCTTAGGGTGAGGCAGAGAGAAGCAACTGCCTCACACAGCCAGAGCTGGGCAACTGCAGAGGCATCATCCTTCTAGCACCTCCTGGTGGCCAGAGATAACTTCACAAGGCTATCTTGCCCTAGGCACTAAGCTTCCTATCCCTTTTTTTTACAATGGGATAGAAAAAAGAGTGAGCAGTCTCTCATGTACAAATACAAGAGTGCAAAGGTTTCCTGAAAAATAGCAGGGGTTCTTCTGGCTCTTTTCTCTTGCACAAAGCAAACTACTGGAGGGGAAGACTTACACCTGCAAACTGACCTCTGGTACTCTGGAAACTCTACGGCAGCAGAGAGAAGGCTGCAGCATAGTCCTAGTCTACCAAATCTTGAAGACAAGGTGTCTGAAGGGAAGCAAAGGAAACAGGTACCTGCTTCCTTCTGATGATTCAAGGGCCTAGTGGAGGAGCGATAGGTCTCTCTCACACACATTCCCTGCTTGGTAGTGTTGAGGATTCAGGGATGCCCAACAAGACACTATCTCCCCTCCAAAACCACCACAATGCAAGGACTAGGATATCCAAGGCAAACATGAATTATAGCATCAGGGCTCAAGAGAGGTGGGCACAAACTCACTCCCACACTCTTCTGCCTCAAACACCTCACGTAGGACAGCAGAGGAAGTTCAGAAGGAACACTGATGAACAAGGTGGAGAAACCTTCAAGGTCCATGAGACCAAACCATTTTTCTCTTGGCTCAGTCACTCCATCATCCTCCCCAAAAGATCCCTGAGGACCAATGCATCCCCTATTCCTGGAACCACAGAAGACCACATCAAACAACAAAAGCATGAACCTCACCTGATGGTGCTAAATAGTGCATAGACCTCAGGACTCTTCCCGTCTTTAGTCCTCAGAAGAAAGACATCCTCTGTATAAAAGAGGTTTGGTTCACAGCGTTTAATAGACTCTGATTTTTGTCTATCAAGTTAGACATCTCAAGGACCTAAAAGTCAATTCCAACCCCTTACATTTCTTCATCTTCTAAGACATGGGTTCATAGAAAAATTACCCTTGGCTAAAGGCATGTAAGCTGTAAAGCCAATGAGCTCTGGAACCAATGATAGAACCAATGAAATGATAAGAGGAAACCTTTTGGCTTTGCTATACTGAGTTCCAACTACTGTATTCTGCTGAAGGCGTTTATTGTGATCTTTTTTTTGCTGTGCTGCTCCCAACACTCAACTCTTGCCCGTTAAGCCAATGAGCTCTGGAACCAAAGATACAACCAATGAAATGATAAGGGAAAACCTTTTGGCTTTGCTATACTGAGCTCCAAATATTCTGCTGAAGGCATTTATTGTGATCTTTTTTTTCTGTGCTGCTCCCAACACTCAACTCTTGCCAATGTGGAAGCCCACCCTGGAAACACCTGCCGGTTGTATGATGTTAGTAGGCCTCAACCTAACATCATACTATTCTGAACACACCTGTCTTGTCTAAAAGAGATGTACCTAGTAAATATGTCTGAGAGACCATCGAGGAATACCTGAAGCCTCCAGGTAGAACTAGGAAAGAATCCTAAAGAAACCTGCCTGAAAACCTAAAAAGTTGCCGCCAGTCAGGGCTGACAATACTGGGATAGACTGGCCAACAATCTGGCCCAGTATAAGGCAACTTCCTAGACTTCTAAGTTCTTATGTAAGTTCACCCATGTAAGGATCTATCTTATGTGGTGACTTCCTAACACAAGTATTTGTCTTCATCACTTACTCTTGAATGAGGCTTCCTCATTCAATCTGAGGTCCTAATCAGATCCATACTTGCCTTGTTTCAGCACATACTTTTTAACACTGAATGTTTCACACTCATTGACCTTCTTCCCATATAGTTCAGGGAAACTGGTCCCTCAGGGCTTAAGTTTTAGCTGACAAATGGGGAGTCTTACAATAAAAGGCAGAATTCCCAAACACAGGAAAACCATCTTTCTTACCTAGTTCATCGAAATATGTGTCAATACCATCCGGTCCTGGGACAGAGCATACCAGCCGGGCTTTATTGAAGGTACTCCACTTGTTGACTAGCACTCGTTGCCCCCCAGCGTCATTCTGGATGGAAAGGAAGTAAACGCGACTCAGAAACGGAGGCAGCTGATGCTTCGGATAAACAGGTTTCATATTCATAAGTGATATTTATCAATTACACACATCCTATCTCTGAGGAATTTTACTGTATATTTAGGGAACCAGAAAAGGACAGCTACTGATTCTATTTTAATTTCTGTTCCTTAGAATATCATTCTTTAAATGTTTAATTGCCAAGAAGGGATAGAGATATGGGTACCTGTGGGCAGGAGCACTTCTCCTCCCTACCCCAGTAATCCTAGATGTATTTATTTGTTAAGATACATATGGATGGATTCATTGTGTTGTAGTGGTATGATAAACCAATAGCATCATGAAGCTGTGTGTGTGTGTGTTTTAACACTTAACTGGTTTCCAAGGTGAGAGGTGTGTGAAGAACGGGGAGAAAGTGCAAGATTATGAGAATGTCATAAAGAAAAAGATTATGACCAACTGAAAAATTTATGATGGACATCATTATTAGAATTTATTATTTCTCAGGGAAACTATTTGCCCGTATTTTTAATTTAAAACAATGATTAAGTTTTTGTGTTCTAAAATTTAAATTCCTTTTGTTGTTGTTAAAACAGTGTTGGATTACGGTAAACAAGAGGTGGAGATATGAAAGGGTTCCTCAGAAGTCTAAAACGGGGTGCAATGTCAATAAATGTGCAAACTGCTGGTCTAACTCTTACCATTACAAGCTCCCAAAGATCAGTAGGGAGTCACATCATGCAAATGAATCCTTACTCTCAATATTAGTAGCAAAGATACAGTTAGATGTTGCATCTTTTTCTCTCCTTCCTTTTGAGGCAGTCTTATTCCCTGTACCTTTTAGTCTACTACATGAGACCCTCTGTGCAGGAGTAGAAGTAGGATTTGTTCAATTGCATATCCCCATCTATAAAACACCCTCTTTATGAGCTTTCTCCCTTCATCCATATTGTGTCAGCTTTTGGAAGGCAACTGAAAATTTATTTGAGCGAAGATTTCTATTTTTAATTCTCACAATTCATCAACAATGGCCTTATATTTGAGCAAGAGTAGAGAACTTGTAGCTGCCCGGATGTTGTTGCACAAAAATTCTACTGCCCCTAACTAGAGATGATCGGAGACAAAAGTCTCACAACATCTCGAGGCCCACACATTCTCTTCTCCCTCCCCCTCGTACATTAGGATAGCACTTCAGTCTGTTATTCTTTGGAGGATGGGGAGGTGCCTCCTCTCCCATATTTTAATTTTCAGCTTTTACCTCTGTACTATTTATGTCTGGAAGTTAAAGCATTTTAAAATTATCCCACAACATATGTTTTATATCTCCCCCTGCCTCAAAAATGAGTTGGAACATACAGTTGGGGTATCACTTAACTACAGAATCAAATGGAAAATTCCAAACATAGAAGAAGCTTCATTTCTTTGAAAGAGGCTGTTGGGATTTATGCTACTTCTGTTTAAGACTATTTTTATGGGCCCACCCTAAGTTAAAATTTCAGACTCCTAACAAGAGGCAGTATTTTTATATTCCCACTACATGTAGTTTTAATGGAGTAAAGGATAAGCCTTTTTCCCTGCTTCTTTACGCCACAGTTATCTCACAGTTATCTGATGATATTCTAGCCACCTTGCCTTAGAATATTATTTTAGCTTTCGTTTATTATTTATTTCATTTTACCTTGACATTTTATCCTGCCAGATTTTCAAAGTAAACTCATAGTTGTTAGCAATGGAGCAGAACCTTCTCTTTTTTAAAAAGACAAGTGGAATACAGTGGGGAGGAAAATCTGAATTTGCTATAGTACTGAACATATTTTGGGGATTCTGTCCCCAAATGTCCATCACAATCATAGTTTCTTGACTTTCAAATACATTGTTAAAATTCAACCCTTTGTAATGTCTTTTAAAAGTAGCTGCTAATACTCATATGTTGGCCATAATCCTATTGTTGGCCACAATCCTAAGCAGCACGCTTTGCTTTGCTTTATTGTTGTGCATGAGCAATTGCAAAAACCGTAACAGCAAATTATTGTTAATTAACAAATTGCTGCTTGCGTGCCTAATTATGTGGCATGGATAAGAAACAAAATGCCTCACAAGTATCCAAATAAGAGTATCTTTTTTACATTTGCTACCCACCACCTTTGGTGGCGTAAAGCTTCTTCCGAGTCTACACTATGAAAACCTTCCTTTTCACATCTCCCTTGTCAGAATGGACCCAAACATGGCTTGACCTGTATTTCCACAATCACAACCCAGCAGGTCCCAGTGACAGTGATAATCCAAGGATTGGAAGAATTGTGTCACAGGAAGATGTTCCTTTTTTTTTTTTTAAGACAAAGGGCAAGAATTGCAAGCTAAACACAGCTGTTAAATTGAGCCCTGAATCTCCCAGGCACAAGGTTATGTATGGTACATGGTAAGACTACTGAGAGATTTAAAGGGTGGGTGCAACAGCTTAACCTGTTTGTTGTGTGTGTGTTGTGCCTGCCAACAATATTGGAGAAGATGAAACACCAGATTGTCTTGGCTACAGACAGCAGCGGATCTCCTTTGACTCATCTGGCAACCCGCCATCATTGGAAGCCAAGACTGCAGCCCCATCCCCGCCTCTCAAACAAATATAGAATCATCCTCTCTGTCCAAGGATTGATTAATCCAATAAATAAGAGCTTCATTTCAGTGTCTTAATGTTTATTTCTAGGATTAGGGGGAGAGCAAGGAATTCACAGCCAAAAGAACAGTTCTGTTTGTATGGAAAGCTGCCATCTCCTCCTCTCCAACCCCTGCCTGGTGCGTAGGACTTGGTGCTTGTTCCAGAGAAGCTGAATTATTGCAGGCAGGCGCCACCCCGATAATTTCAAGCTGACAAATGCTTCTTTCCAATGACTCTGCAGCCCAGGAGATTTTCCTTTCCGTCTTTCAAGAGATGGGAATCTTGCTCTTGGGCTTACCAGAGACCCAAGTCCAGTCTCTGCTCCTGTTTAATGACTACCATTCGGATTCCACCTTCATTTTGTGGGTTTTTGGCTCACTGGATGCCATTTTGGAATGTCACCCCTTCTCATGGGTCTTTGAAATACTAATTCTGGGTGTGTGCAGACGTTTTTAGTGTGCAACTGCCTTGCCTTGGATCATTTGACAGGGTTTTCTGATTTCATCACCGATATGCGCAGTGCAAGAAAGCACTCCATCCAGCATTTTACAGCGGAGCACAGGGACATAGTTGGAACACTCCACACTTAAGACCACTGGCTGAGTTCCCATCCCATCACGCATTCCTGAAGTCTCTTTGCTGCCTGCTGTTCTGGATATTGGCTGGTTCTGCAATGCTCTATCGTCCCTTGATTTAAGAGCCAACAGGGTAGTTACACATTTAGTTAAACATATCTTTCAAATAAGCAGCTGCTCTAAAACATGTTATTAATAAGTCAACATGTATTTCAGCAGCTGCACACTATATACTAGGCTAGCACTACATACTCATGCTATCTTCTGCGCCATGCACATACCTTTGTCCATATGTTCACTACCAGAGTCGATGGAACAGTATACATTTCAGGGTCTCCGAGGGGGAGGGGGGAAGGTTGGAGTAATCCTGAGCTACAGTGTCACTGGCCGGCTTATATGAGAAACCTAGTTGTTGTTGTTGTTGTGTTTCCCAATCTCTCCCCCCCCAATTTCTACTGCAGCCACAGCACAGGACAGGATGGGAACACTACAAGTCCTGACTGGAGTCAGTACAATCCATCAGTTCTTCTAGGATTCTTGTTATCACAAAGGGTTTTCCTCTCTGCCACTTGCTGCATCCCATGTACAAGGGACACTTGACTGGAACCACCAGTGAGAGCTCCTGAGGTGCCAGCTTTGACTTTCTCTAACTCCCATTGCTAAGCTATAACCCTTAAGAGAGAGAAGGTACAAGGTACCCTTGTTGGTGCATCTCTTTCTTTCTGAGATGAAGAAATGAAGAAATGAGAACCTCACCGAGGGCCCCTCCAGATAGGGGAGGGGGAGAATTTGGAACAGTCTAGTTCACACTTAAAATGTTCTTATCTTAAGTGTGGTCTTTTTTATTTTATAGAATTATAGAATCACAGAAAAGTAAAGTTGGAAGGGGCCTACAAGTCCATCAAGTCCAACCCCCTGCTCAGTGCAAGAATACAATCAAAGCATAGCTGCCAGGTGATTATCTCAGTTTTTTCTTGAATGCCTCCAATGTTGGAGCACTCACCAACTCCTGAGGTAACTGGTTCCACTGTCATTTATTTTATTTTATTTATTTACAATATTTTTTAGCCGCACCATTGCCAATGTGGACTATGTTCTTGTAATTTTGTAAGGACAATGGTACATTTACTGGATTTTTCTTTCCTAAGGACAATGGGACTTTTACTGAATTTTTCTTTTTAGTACAGGATTCTTGT